CTTTAGATTTCTATGAAATACAGAATTTAAAAGTTAGTAATAGTCAATGCTATTTAAAGTATTGCATTAAGATGTATGTGCAGCCACAACAAAGGGGTTTTTTTCACTTCTTGAAAACGAGATTTTTTTTTTTAAAGTCTTTCAAGGTTTCTTTTGCACTCGCATTTCATTTGTATTGTGCAAAACCCTTTTCTGCATGTAAGGTATCTCAAGTCAGTTTGTAGCACTTTTTTTTTTGCTAGTGCTGAACCTCCTTTGAGCAGAAGTTATATTCAGTGTTGAATTTTGCAATGGTTTTTCAAAGCATAAAAACCCCTGCTGTAATGTCGGTTGTAATCTCAAGTTTCCAGAAGTTAAATAAGTCTACATCTATTCTGTTTTGGCACTCTGACAGTGACTTTCCTCATAAACATGTTGCCTGTCAACAGAATTCTGTAGGTAAAGCAAAATTGTCTTTAAAATTTACCAGCCTGTGAATAAACCTTTTTCTGTCCTTTACTGGAATTATTATATGAAAAATCCGTGACATTTATTGCTCATTCTGTGGCCATTACTTGTCATCAGGAGTGGATTTGTGTGTGGCTTGGACACAGTATCTGAATATTATTATATTTCAAAATTAGACATCAGCATTATTTTTGTGATAGAAACGCTATTTTAAATCATCAGATACTTATTCTGTAGTGTGTTACTGTTCTTTTATTTGACAAGAAATAGCTGTTACCCTCACATGACTCTTCAGGCCTGAGAGAATGGATATGGAAGATTTCTGAGCCAAGTCGCCTGTTCCTGCAAGCAATTTCAGCCTCTCATTTCACATTTCAGCTTGTGAAATGTTTGAGCCTATCATCTTAGAACTGAGCTTTAGTTTGGTTTTGCCATTCTCTTATTCTTTTGCACTCTTCAGAAATGTGAAGAGCTGAATGTGATCCTGATCGACGCCTGACCATGGTACTTTGTGTTTCTGTGAAGGGTAAACTGCTCCCAGCTAATCTGTTTCAGTCTGCTGGGGTTAAACACCTCTTTTAAAGGTTATTTGGCCTAGTAGTCTGTCACTGTAGTGTTGTTCTGTATCCTAGGATGCTATCATTACTCACCTTTACGTGAAAGAGGACTAAGAGGACTCCTCCACCTTCTTGCCTGCCAGCTTGCTTTCCCTCATTTCTCTTTGTAAAAGCATAATTAAAGCTTTCCTTCCATTCGGAAGTAATCTGAATTTTAACATCATCTAATTACGTGCTCTATTCGGAAAAAAAGCTCAACAAAGACGAAGAAGTATTGTATAGATAGTGGATTGTGGCATCAGGCTGCAAGGTGGTGTCACACCGCACGGTGTTGCCCTACTTACTTTCTTCATTGGCTGAAAGTTTTAATTACAGCTTTTATTCTGACTGGTGACATGTTAAGTGCTCAAAAAGTCAGGTCAAAGGTTAGGCGATAATGATTTAGCTAAAAACAACTTGAAAGGTGTTATTTATACCTGAGAAAGAAGTCAGGGTGTTGTTACTTGTGTTTTCTGGGGATTATTTCCATTGTTTAATGGAGCTTGATTATGAAAATTTCATTTGACATAAGCAGAAGTTACGTTTGAGATGAACCATTGCTTATACCAAACCATTAAAAATAGTTCTCACCAAGTTTCGTGCACTATCCAAGGAAATTAGATTCTGTTTTACTTGTTAATTTCTTCTCAGTGTGGCATTTTGTTTGTTTAACATTTAAGGACATACAAGAGCCTTCTGCTGAGCTGACACAGCTGCCTGGCAGGACCACCTCACCCTCCTTCTGGAAGGACTCCGGTATCTTGTGCCCGTGGCAGGGTGTCTGCGCACCAGGGCTCCCCTGGGCTGCGGCGGTGACAGCTCACCTCTGCGCTGTCGGGCTCTGGGCTGCTGTGCTGTGCTGTCCTCTCTCCGCCCTCAAACCTCGAGTGTGATCTTGGCCATTTCGTTGTGTTTTCCCTTCTCGCTGCCAAAAAGCAGAAAGAATAATGTGCTAGAGGATGGTCACTGCAGTGTGTTAAAGCGAAACAATGGACTAATGTGCTCTCGCAGACAAGAGCGGCTCTGACGGGGCTGGGGCGCTGGCAAGGCCCTGTGAGAGGACTCCGCTGGGACCGTGAGCGAGCCTTTTGTGTCTCAGCATTGCTGTTGCTGCTGCAGAACACAGTTATTCATTGCAGGCGAGATGGCAGCAATGTTTTCTGCTCGGACACTGCCAGACATATCTTCTCTAGGCGAATTTATGAAAAGCATGTGTGTATATGTGCTGATACAGTAATGTGATAGTGGATCTCTTATTCTTGAGCACATGAATGAGTGCTTAGAAGAGTATGTCTTCATATCTTATGACATGGGGGAAGGAAACGCTAGGTTAATTGCCAGCAGTATTCTTAAGGAGAAATTATTTTGACCTCATTTTTTCATTACTGCCTTTGAAAACATGGGATTCCCTCCTCTGCAGTGCTCTGAAGAGCCTGGTGTTTCCTACCACTGCTTAGCTCCTGAGGAGGGACGAGGGACGAGCTTCCCGTGCTCTCACACGTGTCTGTCAGGGATGGGATAGTTAGAAAGTGACAACTTTATTTCATTGTTCCTCCCTTGGCAACAAAGTTAGTTTTCTATTGAGTTTTGCTGGGATTCTGTAGTGCTGATGTTGCATTACTTTGTCTTCTGAAAGCTGCCTGCACTTTGGAAACTAAGGTAAAAATAAGCTTAACTGTCAGAAGATAGATTTCATAGGACTGGAGCTTCCAAAATCTTCATATATTTAATGATATTTAATACATGAAACAGAGCAGGTGATCTGCAAACAAAAAGCTTGCTGTGTTGTTGCCCATCTGTGTTAGGCAGCTCCTGAAATCAGACCAGAAGTTCTGTTTTTTAGGGTGGTATGGTGTGTTGTTTTTCTTTCCTATCTGAAAGAGCACAGGAGAAATAAAAGAGACAGCAATGCCAGTCCTGTGAATAAATTGTTCTTTGGTTTTGAGTCACTGCAGGAACTGTCTGTGTAAAAGGAAAATAATTTGTTGTCAGTTGTCCCATTTAAGCCTAGATATTATTATTATTGGTTGGACTTCACCCTTGTTTTCCTGCTACTCTATTTGGCTGTGAGCATCCATAGAACTCACACTGCCTCCTGACGTGCAGGGCTGCAGCCTGTCCTTCTGTCTGTCTACTGCTGCTGGACTCTGGGAGGGGGAATGGGGGAGAAGCAAGAGTGTTTCTTCTTCCTTTGCCAGGTGGAAATCTTCATTGCTGCTGCAAGCCAGCCCAGGCACCACAGACCTCCCTCAGGAGTGTGGCCAGCAGGCTTGATGTCCACTGCAATGAGAGGTCCCATCAGAGGGTGTTTTCATTTTCCTGTGGCCAAGGCTGACATCTCTGGCAGTTCAGTCTTTGTAACCTGGACTACACACAACCCACTGTGAAGCTGAATCGTTATGCTTTGCCAGCACTTCCCCAGTGAGACTGACAGCTTGCTCTATGTGGATGTGTGAATGTGCTGCAGTCATTCGCACCCATTGCATGTGTTACATGGAAGTTGAGAACAGAAAATTAGGTTACTTCGATCTTCTTAACACTTCCTATTAAGTTTAAATCAGCACTCATTCATTTCAAGTAATTTCCTTTTACCAAAATGTGGAAAATCTGCTTCAAATGATTCTTTCATTTGGTTAAATGAATCCCACCTTGGCTCTCCTGGAGATGTATGACATAACCAGAGGCTCCTTTAGCCTATGTCTTTGTGCAACACGATGTGGATGCTGGAGCTGTGCTCTCATCTGGTGGCTTGGTGATGTTTCTGAAGATAGTTAACAGCTTGAGAGTGACAACGTGATCTCTAGTTTAGCTTTGTAATTTCATCAGCAGCTCTTTTTTTAACCATTTCAGAAATAGAACCTCAGATCTTCTGCAGGACCTCTAGGTTACAGAAACCACAAACAGTTTTTCCATGCATATTTCTTTCCTTCTCCTGCACAGCATTTGCTGATGGCCTTAGCAGGCCATGCTGGCTGCATATGTGCTGCCTGAATGTGTGCGTGCCTGAAGTTTCATTCACAGGTACTCTGCTGTGTGGGCAGCCTGATCCAGGGCTTGACTGTACTTTCTGTGTTCCAGCTCCAGCTCTGTAAAGCTTTGGGATAAAAATTTGTTCCTTCTTTCTCCACTTTCGAGTATGTAAGACAGAGTTACAGCTTATAGGAGTATATTGAAATATCATTAGTTTTAACTTCTTTTGCCTTAGGAATATAAAATACTATATAAAGCATGTGTGGTCTTTATTTAAAAAGATTCAGGCTATATAAATGCTAATTTATATCCTTGCTATTTTGTAGTGTGTTTCTTAGTCACATAGTTGAGGTTTGTGGATAGAGCCCTCCTTGAGTTGAGAGAAAATTGTTTTAATAGCAAATACAGTTTACTTCTTTTTTGTTTTAATGGGAAGAAACTAATTTGCAACAAAGGGATCATTTTCACTCCAGAGCTGCTGTTTGTGTTCTGAACAGCCATGCTTGAATTTTTCAGATTCAGAACAATCCTGGGAAAAGCTGGTGATTAGATCAGAAGGACAAAAGGTTTCTGTTGCTGGCTCTGCTGTTGATTTCTCTATCTGTAAGATGGCATTAATGATCTTTACTAATGAGCACTGATAGCGTAGCGGAGCACTGTACCACAGACTCTGGGTAGAAGTAGCTGCAGAAGCACGTAGTGAGTAGTGGTAACAGGTACTTCACTGGGGCCAGGTTCTCTGGAGCAGCCCTGTTGCCTGGCTGGACCATCGCAGCAGCATCGGTCCCGACTGAGCACCCTGGCTCCAGGCAGTCCAGCCAGTCGTTCCAGCAGCTTGGTCACTAACAGCCTTGTTTCTGCCACGTGCCTTTATGCTATTGCTGTATGGCTAACCTTCATGGTGGAAGGGTGGTCGCTAAGTTGGGGACACAAAGAATAAGTGTGTTTGAGGGAACAGCTGGTAATTAACATGTCTTTGTGTTTCAGAGATGAGCGGAATCAGTCAATCATTGTCAGTGGGGAATCTGGAGCTGGAAAGACTGTCTCTGCTAAGTATGCCATGAGGTACTTTGCCACAGTCAGTGGATCTGCCAGTGAAGCCAATGTTGAGGAGAAAGTCTTGGCCTCCAACCCCATCATGGAGGTAAGAGAGCTACTGCACTAGCCCCCACCCTCCAGCTGTGGTGTTATTCTGGGACTAACATAAGCATTCAACAGAGAGAGCATTCCATACTTTTTTAAGGATTGGAAAAAGATAGAATAAATACATTATAAAATGTTCTTTGTAATCCCATTTACCAGGAAGTGCCTTAGGAATCATTTTGTGTAGTATTTATGAGAGTCTAAGAGAAGACAGAAGGTAATGTTTCAGTGTTGTTAATGTATTTCACATAAGAAAGTAATTTTAGTATGAGTACTGCTTAAAATCTGTTCAGCTTTGTAACACTGGTAGTTCCCAGAGTGCTGGCCAAATGCAAATGCAGAAGACCAAAAAATATTCCAAAGAGGATTAGAACTTCTGGTCTTACCCACTGAACATGTGCATCACACAGTGGGGGCAGGTAGATTAGACTTTGAAGTGAAGAGAGTTGTTGAGTAAAGCAAATGTTCAGTTTTAGGAAATGTGATTAGGGAAGATGGACTGAGAAAGCAAGGTTCTATGAGATGCACACACTTTCTTTCAGAAGGGAAAAACACAACGGAAGATGTAATTTTGCTGTAATTAGCTCAGAGTAATGTTTTGGTTATGGAAATATATAGTCAAGTCATGAAGCCATTGGCTTGGGAGCATAGGTGCAGGCAACAGATGACTTGACATGGGAGTAGCTAACATGAGATAACATGCACACTGGCCTCCTGCTTCTGGAACCCTGTCATTCTGATGTGACCAGGCAGAAAACACTTCTTAGGCTCATCTGAATTGTTTTTTGTGTCTGCCTACATGCGTAGGTTCAAGTTGTGGCTGAAGTTAAGGAACTATGCTAAGAAGTGATTCATCAGAGAGAGAGTCGGGGAAATTCCTAAAGAGAAGTAGCACTATCCATAGGCACGCACACATGCCTTCTTATGGACAACCTAAGAAAATGCTTGGGACAGCTGGTGATGTCTAACATCTCTGTGCAGTACTGAGAAGTATCAGTGGACAGGCATGAGTAAATGGAGTGTGCATACTGAAATGTGAAATGCAAAATGCTGCCATTGTTTTCTTTCTCAGGTATTGCTAGAAATGAACTATGTTTTATTCCTTCTTTCCTCCTGGCATGAGGAGTTCATGGTACTCAAACTATAGCAGCCCCATCACAGTTGTGTGTGTTCTGTTACAAGGTAATGGTGCCTGGTTTGTGGTGCTGTGTGGTGTTTTGAAACGGTTTTGTGGGATGAAACAAGCTGTGCCGTGGCTGGCAGGGGGCTCTGCTGCCGAGGGATCCACACGCCCAGCTACGGGAGGCAGCCAGGGGAGCTCAGCCTTGCCCTGAGCTGCATCTGCCCCAGCGGGAGCAGCCTGGCCCTGGGGAGCAATGCTGGTTTTGCAGGTGTGAGCTAATCCCAGAGAACTCCTTTCACTGCTCACATGTTGGCAGCGAGCGTCATAACCATCCTTGGCTGCGTTGGGGTTCGGTGCGTGGCCGACAGGACCGGGATGCCCCTTCTGCCTTCCCCTGCTCACCACGGAGGTGGTGCCTGGTGGCTGGGTCCTCGGCGCCTGTCTGCTAAATGGCAGTGAAGGTGGGAGGCTCCGCAGGATGGGTCTGTGGTTTGCTGGGTGAAATGAAAACTGTCTACAGGTTTCCTTGTGCCTCTTCTTTTGTTTCGTCTCAAAGCCTAAACGAAACATCTCTCATCCCTTGGACGCCACCTCCCCATCAGCAGCTCACCACTAATTGTCTGATTTAATTCCAAAGCAAGGAAATTTAAATTGAGGACTAGAAATGAACTTCCCAGCCAAACCTTTTTTTTAATCTGCTAAAAAACAATGATGGTGCTTTATTTTCTAGGGATAACAACAATTTCACGAACCTGGGTATATCTAAAATTTTGGTTACTTTAAATGTTGTTGTAAGTGGATGAAAGTTACCCTTTTAACTTCAAACACTTGAGCTTTAAATAAGCTTTAGAGGGAGTGTTGTGAAAATCTGGTATTGAGACAAAGTCTAGGATAGCAAAATTAATGTTTTCAGTCTCCAGTTGATAAATCAGCAGAAACACAAGTTAACCCATGCAAATTAAGAAGAAAATGAGTAATGCATTTTGGAAACAGGAAACTCCTCATTTGATAAGTTGTAAAATCTTAGGAGCAGAAGGTAATTTTATTTTTTAATTTCTTAACTGTTTTTGTAAGTAACACCTTTCAAAGTAATAATTATCTTCTGAAAATATTGTAATAATTATATTGCTGCCACCACCAACAAAATATATAGCAGTGGCAATAATTTTAAAACACAAAAAGTGCAGCTTTAGTACATTAAGTTCAAATGAATTTAGTATTTCTTAGAACTGTGAGGATGTGATTTGTTCTTGCATCCTTGATAGCAGCTGTTTATCTGATGCCCACTTTGACATCCGCTCCCTCGGGCAGACGTGCTCCTGCCATGGTGATGGCATTTCTCAAAGTCTCGTCCCGGCTCCCTGTCCTGCACCTGCCAGCCCTTACCGGTGCACTGGCCTTTGGTTTGCAGATTTGGAATACCGATACTCAGCACTGCTGCTTGATGTCATTTGTTTTTCCCAAGTTTTATGTTAGTACGGAGCTCCCCTGGATGACTGTGTGAACTCGGAACCAGGGTGTAGCTAAAGAACCCCGAGTTGTATCTGTGATGCACCTCAGAGTGGGCTACAGGCAGTGGCACGTGGTAAAGGGCGGTGTGCTCTGTCCCTGTGACTCCAAATGGCATTCCTCTTGGTACAGAGGTATCTTTAAGATATTTTTTGGGAAGGTGAGTTGCTTTATGACGTCTGGAACATGATCTAATTGAGGAGAAAAAGTGCTTTTTGAAGTTCAGCGTGTTGTGCTTTGCATGCCTTGAATTCTGATCGATTCAGCTGGTACCTGTCGTGGGGTGAATCCTAACGCTGATGAGGTAAGGCAGAGGTGCACCACAGTCCTTATTTGCCCTGGGTGTCCCAAGACCACGTACTACAGAGGAAATATGTTAAAAATTGGGGTTTTGTGTGTGAAACTGTATTGAATTCATGTAAGAAACTTCGATACGTAGGGCAACACTGAAGACTGTCTACAAGCCAGTAACCAAGCTGCTATGGAAGGGATTCAGTTTCAGGCAAATAACAAATCTGTCCATGTTAATTTGTACATTATATTTAGGCACACGGTAAATATTTTATGGTTGTATGTTTGCAGAAGTAATAATTAACTGTTAGCCAGGCAGAACATGAGGGCTGTTTGCTAGACTGATGGTTTATGATAGGTAGACTTAGAGAGGTTGTAAGTACTGTACATATATCTGTACATACACCTGTACACACATGTGTATGAATATGTAAGAGTGTGAAATAATTATTATAGTCTTATTAAGACCCTAGAAGAAATCTGAACCATTCTGTTAGGCTCTTTAAATCCTTTTAAAATACTTCAGGAGGCAATAAAGGAGTTCGACCTGGAAAATTAGACTATGTGGAAGTAAAATCATTGCTGGGAACATCAGCTCCCACTCTTGCATTAATGAAATAAGTGTATTTTGGTGTAACTTGCTGACCAGGTGGGGATTGTTCTTTATTAAATTCTTGATTATTTTGAAATCAGGACAAAATTAATGTTGTTGTGAGGCATGTAGGTGATAATTTCTAAAAGCTGTTTAACCTTTACAGTATTCCCTTTTTTCAGTCTATTGGAAATGCCAAAACTACGAGGAATGACAACAGCAGTCGCTTTGGGAAATACATTGAAATTGGTTTTGATAAGAGATATCGAATCATTGGTGCTAACATGAGAACTTACCTCTTGGAAAAATCAAGAGTGGTGTTTCAGGTAACACTGATGCAGTCTTCTTACTGTGTATTTGTGTGACTATGCTAAAAAAAATAAAGCTATAGCTTGCTAATAGTAGTTATCTCTCCTAAGAGATGGCTGTAACAGGATATTGTAATATAGCACATGTGGGGTGCGGGGACAAAGCCCTTCGGTACATGAATTATTTGTAGTTGTAAAATGTGTATTGAAAAGGTTGTGTACTTAAACATGAAATAGTTTCAGTGCACTCCTGGATATGAGTTTGTGTTTCCCATAATACTATGGAATAGGGCTTCAAAACCCAGCAGAAACCGCTCAGGCTCAAGAGCTCTCTGTTGTGGTTTGTAAGGCTGCCATCTTAGCTCACTTTCAACCTCTTGTTAAAACTTACTGCTATCACAATAATTATGAATGAGTCTTAATTGCCATTGTTTAGGCAAATAAAAATATGCAATTTCATCTTTATTGAACTCTTCATTTTGGTATTTCATACTTTCTCTCTGTCTTTGCCTACCTTATACTCTGGAGCTCAGTAAAAATGAACTTATCCTTGACTGGCTGCCCAAAGGTATAAAACAAGTAATTCCAGTTTGTGTTATGTAGGGGAGTTACATGAAGTAGTGTTGTATATTTTAAAAATGAGAGACTTTTTGCACATGGTTTAGCTGGAAGAGACATTTTTTTCTTCCCCCCTCCCCTTTTTGTGATTTGAAGTTATAAAATGTAGAGCATTTATATTCAGAATTATGGTGTTCGTCGTGAGTCATAACCTTCTGAGCTGTGTTTCTCCTTCGTTTTAAAATTCCAGCTTTGCCTTGGCAAGGAACTCCCTTCACCAGCTTACTCTTTTGCTGAGGCAAATGGTATTAGTTATTTTTGGAAAATGAAAAGCTTTAAAGTATGATCGTTTCATCCACCCGTAGAATTCTGGTCTATATTTAACAGTATTCCACAGTTCTGAAAAGTGATATCTTACTTTTTTTTTTGGAAATTAAAATGTATGCGTGCTTCTTGCTGTTGAAAATGGATTAAATTAACCAAGAAGGGAATGATAGATGCTGATTTATCTTCTTTCTTTCCATGTGGCTTCCATGTTCTTAATGTAATGCTAGAGAAAGCAATTCTTTTCTACTCGTGGATGGTTCTGGCACTTGTTAAGCTGTGAAAAATAATCAATTTATTTCTTCTTAAAGGCAGAAGAGGAGAGAAATTACCACATCTTTTACCAACTTTGTGCCTCTGCAGCATTACCTGAGTTTAAAACTCTACGATTAGGTATGAAATCCACATTCATTGTGTTGTGCAGTTGTAGGTACAAAGCAGCATCTCTGAGCTTTTCGAGCCGTAGAACCAAAAGAAGAACTGGTAGCTTTTACATTCCAAACTTTTAAACCGTCAAATACTAAAATATATTGAAAATAACTAGAATGGCAGATCTCAGGTTTTATATTTTTTTAGATAAAGCAAAAGTAACAGCTTTATTTGTTTGACATACTCTTAATACAACGCAATTTTAATCACTAAGACTTACTATGTCCTTGATTCCAGAGTAGCTTTCCAGTAGTGAGGGTGAAATCCTCTTCTCTTGGACCTTGAAAACCTTTTTTCCATGGCTCCAGCTACTAGAGAATTTTACTGTTTCTAGTATAAGCACCTGGAAAGCTTGTTTCACATCTGCATACTTGGTCTGTCACCAATGATTGCTTTGTCATCTCTGCTAACCTTCCAATCACAAAACTGATGTGAAATTTATCAACATTTTAATTTGAAAAAAAGAAAAAGGAAAGGTTTCTCATGTAACAGGAACTGGTACGTTTTAAAAGAAAAATACGAGGATGACCTTGGGACAGGCAATCACCTCATCATTTTTAAAATTCAGTATAAGTTTCAGTGTTTCTTTAAAGTTACCTTTATGATAAAGTTACCTCTGTGAAAGTGGGAAAACTGCACAGCCTATCAGTGTTGCTTTCTGAAATACCATTCTGCTTTTAAAATGTTTCTCTGCTCTTCTGCACCATCCTGGCACATTTAGGATTCACATCTGCTGGCACAGGAAAGAAAGGCACTGATGTAATTATAACTAAAGAAGCCATTTAGCAGACTCCTCTTTCAGCATTGTTGAAACCTTAGCAGATGAGAAGAAAAGGAGTCTGTTACTGCAGCTGGAAGCCTGGCCCCAGAAACCATAGGAATTTACACAGTACCCAGGAGAGGTACTGCTCTCCCAGTGAAGCCCAGTGCTGTCCCCAGAGCACTATGAAACCATCAGGTGTCCAACCACAACTTCTCAGCCAGAACGCATCACTGATACTTATAAAAGTAAACCACACCATAAATTAGCAATGGGAAGAAAATGGGCAAAATAGAAATTTTCAAATATCCTGATGCAATAAAAGCATAACACTGTCTGCTGTGTTAAGTCTAAAGTGCTGCTGCCATCAGCTTTGCACCTACTGCTTGGGACGTGGTTGGCTCAGCCTTGGGGAATGATTGCTTCCAAAGTGATTATTCCACGGATGTGGAACCAAGGTTAGGTAGAGGATGCGCCTGAAGGCAAATTGTAGGAACCAGGCAGCTTAAGGATACTTACTTGCACTGTTAAATCTTGAAAAAATTCTTATCCAGAGCGAGCAAATCCTATGAGCCAGAACGCAAAAATACACTGATGTATTTCAACTCATGGATCCCACCAAGAGCAACTTAATCATTGCACAGCTCTACAGATGTGCTGTGGATTTCTGCATCAGTGTGTATAAAATACTTGTTTCCTCTCTTGCAGGGAATGCAAATCACTTTCACTACACAAAGCAAGGTGGAAGCCCTGTGATTGATGGTGTTGACGATGCTAAGGAAATGGCAAACACCAGGCAAGCCTGCACTTTGCTAGGTAATTTGTAAAACATGGTCATATCCCAAATTCAGATGATTCTATGATACTAGCAAGCGTTTTCTGTTATTTATGTGTTTTCTTTGTACTCTGTTATTTTTAAAAACAGGAGAGTTTGATTAATATTGGGACTGGTATACTTTGATTGAAATAAGAAGGTATTTAAATTGCAGTGGAATTGCATATCTGGTGTCGGAGGAGCACACGTTACATGAACATAAATGGTGGATTCCCTTGGTTTAGCATATGCGGTGTTGGAGGTCACTGGCAAAACACTTTGAAACAGCAAATTAAGTAATTTGTTCTAATGGATTTTGTTTGCATCTGGTTGTAAAATGTTTTTAATAGGAATAGAGCCAAGCAGTACTGTCAAATGCCAAACTATCTGAAGAAAACACACAGTGTTTTTCTTTTCTTAATCAAACTTTTTATCAACTGCAGCTCATGATTTTTTATTTCTCTCTAATTTCAACACATTTTATTCATCATTTGTTCAGGAATTAGTGATTCCTACCAGATGGGAATTTTTCGAATCCTTGCTGGCATCCTTCACTTGGGCAACGTGGATTTTGCATCTCGGGATTCTGACAGCTGCACTGTTCCTGTGAGTAGTAGATGGGCTGAAGGGCATGGTTTCTACTCCAGCACTTCTACCTTCTGCTTGTTTACAAGGACCTCTTGTAAAAGAGTAGAGTACAAAACCACAAACAACATGTTTATTTCTAATTTGTTAATGGTTTCACAGTTCTTTTTGCAGATAGTTTCAACTCTTCTCAGTTTGGAGGCTGTAGACAGTGCTGTCTGTATTATAACTGTTGCTGCCTTAATTTCTTTTCAAAACTACAATTGATCTGTCCTAGAAAAGTCTAACAGACAGGCTAGCTTTGAAGTCCTAGGCAAATGTCTATATCTCTATATTTCTACATGAATACATTCCCTGCCCACAGTAAATGCTTTGCAGGATGTGTCTTTTTAGTGTTAAATGCCAGAATGGCCTAAATAATTGCAAAGCCAATGCTTTGCAAAATCTTCTGGGATGTCTAGACACGAACATAGGATACACAGATATGATTTGTGTGACTCATTGAGGTGTCGTGGTTTTATTAGTCTTGTGTCACCTTTATGGAGGTCAGCAATGAGGACTGCATAGTCTGATCTGAAAAAATACCTCCTCATTCAGTGAGGACCAAGGGTTCTTACTGAAGTCCATGTTCTGGGGATGAGAAAACAAGAGATCTGGCTTGTCACTTTTCTATTCCTTAGATTTACAAGTGATGAGTTTCTCCTTTTGCCCTTCCTTGAGTGTCTACTGCTGGGCTACACAGCCTTCATCTTTCTCTCTTCAAATGAGAGCAACAGTTGCAGGGTTTGGTGGGTTTTTTCCTCATTTTACTATCAGTTACTTTCTCAAAAATCTGCAGTAGCAGTTTCTGGAGGTGAAAAAGTAACTCCTTCATCGGGGCACAGATGATCAGTGTGCCTGGTCTGACACCATCTGTCCGTGGGATCTAACGAATCGCTGCTGAGAAGCCATGACAATAGTCTGGCTCTTTGGTGTGTCTTAAAACAGGTTTTCACTACAAAGCAAGCATCATTTAATGATCACAAGTAGAAAGCTGATGAGCCCCAGGATGTGATGAGCTACCTGCGTTGTAGTGGGTGTCTCCAGTGCATTCTCTGAATGAGCTAGTACAAAGCTGCAAGTTCCTGTGAAATCCTATCCTGACTGAACATGTGGTGGTGAATGCCTGCTCAATGGCATCCGCTACCTGAGCCGTGCTGTTCTCTGACAATAGGCTGTCATTGCAGAGCTCTGTCCCTGGGCAGACCAGGTTGCCAGTCTGCCTGGCAAGTGCTGGCGTGGTGACGCCGTGGTGGTCCCTCAGGGAGCTCAGCGAAGGGCTCCGCATGGTGCTGAGTGAACAAATCAGTGTGTTTAATGTCAGCTTGAGTAACCCTAATGTGGCACTCTTTTGTGCAGTGTTCTTTATTATTATTATTACTTCATTACTGTCTTCTGAGCCAGTTAAAGTGGTATGGCTAAACTAAAAGAAGACACGCTCACTTAACTGGATTTTGGAGGTGTAACAGCAATGCCATGGGAGCTGAGTGCTGTAAGGATTGGAAGAAGCCCTGAAGAAGTCAGAAGGATGGGAAATAGAAAGATAAAGCTGATGTACCCCGGAGCTACTGGGCATGTAGTAACAGTCCCCTGTAATCTGTCCCTGTCAAGACGCTGCTTGTCAGCGTGCTGCTGAGCCACCGGCTGCAAAGTGAATGTGCTGAGGAAGTTGTGCTGGGGGAGTTCCTTAGGAGAAAAGACCTGTCTGTCCTGCTTGGTTTCCAGCTGTCGGTTTGCTGCTTAGTCATGAGGTGTAGTATCTTAACTTATTTCATGGTAAAGACACTACATGGGTTTTTATGCAGAAGTCTCATATACCCATCTTGGTGTGTGAGCCTTGGTAGCTGATTTTACCCAGTTAAACAACAGTCAGCTTTTTCACTTGTACTGTCCAATTTGAGAATTAGAGAGCATCATTTGTGTGCTCCAATCTCTTAATGTTTGTCTTCACAATTCACTGAGTAAATACTGTACTAAATACTGAGACCAGAGCACTAAAGCTGTTTCGTGCTTCTTCCTCTTCCTTCTTGGCTTAGACTGCGATGCTGTTGCTCATCACTCCCTGCCGTGGTTTTGTATGAGCAGACTAGAGTACCAGTTGGGGGCTGTAGTGCGTTCTGACCCCAGCACACAGCTGATGTCCTGTTCCCTGCATTCTCTGTTTTCTTCACTCAAAACTGAGACAGTTTTAAGAATTCAAAATACCAAGTCCACCTCTGCAAAGATAGGTGCTTCATTCTTGCGAAGGTTGCAGGTTCCCTGTGTGGGGCTGTTTGGTGAACACCAGTGTAGCAAAATGCCTTTGGGGAGACTGTGATTCACTCATTTGGCAACGTGACTGGGATAAGTGGGTAGGGAAAAGGAGAAAGAGCTGAGGAAGCTGCTGTTGCTGCTTACCGTTGCATCACTGCAGGCAGGCAGTTCTTCTGATCGTATGAATGCATGCGTGCTGTTAGTAATACTGTTTCAAGACCTAACAAGATTGTTTTTATTAGCCCAAGCATGAACCCCTCACCATCTTCTGCGACCTCATGGGTGTGGAGTATGAAGAGATGGCCCACTGGCTTTGCCACAGGAAGCTCGCAACTGCCACCGAAACCTACATCAAGCCAATTTCTAAACTTCATGCCATCAATGCCAGAGATGCACTTGCCAAACATATCTATGCTAATCTGTTTAACTGGATTGTAGATCATGTGAACAAAGCCCTTCACGCCACTGTAAAACAGCATTCTTTCATTGGAGTGCTGGACATTTATGGGTGAGTCTTTTTGTCAGAGATATACCACGTTATGTAATGATGTTACTGCAAAGTGTCTTTATCGTGTAGCACTGCATGGTTTACACAAAAACCTCCAAACCCTCCAGCTGGAGGAAGTAGGTGTTTAGTTTTGACACAGTATCTGTCTTGACTTTCAGGTTTGACATTTATAGTGGGATTTCAGATTTTTGCTGTTGGTAGTTCCTTTTTGTTTTACATTGGGGAAAGTTACAAGGGAGTTGTCATCTTGTTGTTCCTCCAGGGTGGCACTTCTAGAGAGGACAAAGATAACTTAATATGCTCTCCAGGAACAGCAGTCCCTTCCCTGTCTTCTTCATCCCTGCCTAAAGAGGAAGCATCACTGAATTACCCGTGTATTGCAGTTTGCCATTTCCCTGTGTACCTCACTGCTTGACTGTGGTTGGTTGTGCCTGCAATAATGCAATAAATTTGACTGGCAGAATTTAAAATTGTGAGGTCATTTAACATGTTTTTTTTGCTGCACTAGTAATTTTGGTATCTGCATATTTTAGATTTGAGACATTTGAGATCAACAGCTTTGAACAGTTCTGTATCAACTATGCCAACGAAAAACTGCAGCAGCAGTTCAATATGGTAAGTAGGAAATGATTGGCATTTCCTCTTCTCTTTCCCCTCACTCAAGTCCATTCTGCTAATTGGGTCCCCAGTGGTTACGATGAATTCCTTCAGTCTATTAACCAGCTGTCCTGGCCATGGGCTTGAGGGGGTGGGGAGAGATCGACTATCTTCTGGAAATAGATTTCATGACTAACTACTGCTCTGGGACTATTTGAAATTCCAATCACAGTAACAATTATAAGACAGAAGCAGTGCTTGGCAGTTAAGGCCCCGAGATTGCCTGTCGATGAGGGCACTGTGGATGAAGTTGGAGTTTTCTGTGTCTCTGTAAACTCCAATGAGAACCTGTGCATGGGTAGCAGAGAGCAGGGTTGTGTGCCTGGGAATCTGTCACCCATGCTTCCTCTCTTGGTGTCATCTTTTGAGGGCTTTCAGACGCATCCTGCAGCTCATGACTGACGTGTGGCGAGAGGCGCCTCTTCCCCCTCCTCCGGAGAGATCACGATTCTCTCTCTCTCCTCAGCCTTAGTGACGTTTGTAATTACATATCTTGGGGAAGGATGGGAAGGATGGTGCATAATGATGAGGCGAGTTATTTATGCCAGGTCTGTTGCTAGGCTGTGCTGCAGTACAGGAATTGCTTTGAACTCCTCGCGAGCATACCTGTGGGGCAGCGTGTGCTCACAGGAGCAGATCCCCCCACGCCATTGTTCCTCCCTGCAGCAGGGATGTGTGTCGGGGCGTGACCTGGGTGCTGGAGCGGAGACTGGGCTTTCCAGCCCTGGTGTGCCCTTTCCCTGCCGCTAGTGCCATGGCTGGCTTCAGCTCTGTGAGGGGGATGCTGCAACTGCTAAGCACCAAGGTGTCTAGGACTTTTCTTAGCTCTACAGCAAAAAATCAAATCTTCTGTAAGAACTGTAAATGTTTGCTTATTAAAGATCACTGTCCCTGTGTTCCCTTCCCTCTCGTGCTGTTGCTGTGTCTCATAAAGGACAGGGCAATGGGGTTTTTGTGCTGATACCCTAACAAGGGGCCAAAGCATTGGGTTGCCATGACAATACATGGGGAGTTGTTCTAAATTAAAGCCTCATGTCGGCAGCCAGCAGGCCTTCATGTGCCGCCCGGGATGACCTGAGCTTAGCTGGGGGCAAGTTGGATGAGGCTTTGAGCAACCTAGCCTAGCAGAAGATGTCCCCGCCCATGGTGGGGAGATTTGAAACTAAGTGATCTTGAAGGTCCCTTCCAACCCAAACCATTCTGTGATTCTGTGACTGCCTGGCTGCCCCACAGCCTGCCCAGACTCCCTGGCCCCTTCCCCTGCCTGGGCACCCACAGCTTGTAAAGCAAATTAGATCTTGGAGACATTTTTCACCAGGTAATTGCTAGTTCCTTGATAGTGGAGAAATGGTTTTATGTTTTCTTTCAGGACTTAGGTTGGATATGGCTTGCCGTTGACTTTCCTGCCGGGAGTTAGCTCAGTGTGTAACGCAGCCGTTAGCACCCGGCTGGGAACGGCTCCTGCGGGCACTGTTAAGGAGAGCGGCTTTGGGAAGGATGGTGTTAAGCTAATGAAATAAAAGGGATAAACCGCTTTGTTGGGGTGGCTTTGCTGAGAGGCGTCTGTGGGCTTGTGCATCGAGCTCAGGGGGCAGCTGAGGCCACCTCATGAATACGGCCCCGAGCCCTTGGCCACAGCCCTGCTTCTTGCTGCTGGGCAGGGAACTCTCTCCCTGCAGCTCTGCCTTCCTCAGCACCTGGTGTGCGTTAAAATCTAAATGGGAGATAAAGCGTCATTTAAAATAACCAGAGTCAGCAGTCTTTTTGGTTTTAAAAAGAGTGCTTGTGCTATTAAGAGCACAGTTTACCTGTTTAATATCTTATTATCTCTTTTTTTCCCTGAAGTTTTAATTCATCTCCTATGCACATTTCATTAAAGCTGTGCAGGTTTTTGTGATACTATTTTGGAATAAATATGCAACTACATTGTTATTGATCTTCATACCAGGTAAAGCCTCTGCAAAATTTTGCTCAGAGGATTTCTTATGCTAATACTCCTAGAGTTGTTCTTGCAGGTTTTTGCCAAAGAGTATATTTTAATGCAATGCGTCATCTTAGAAAAAAATCAGCAGCCACTTCTGAGAAAATGGAGCTCCGTTCTTTTACGGAAGTGCAAAAATATTTATAGTGAAATTTTACTTGAAATAGAGCAGTATTTGTAACTTCAAAATCATAAATGCATGGCACATCCCACTATAAGTCACTGTTCCTGCACTTGAGACTTTTCCTGAGGTTTGCAGGTTTTTTTGTAAGAGAAAAGAGCTTATTTCTTTTTGTCCCACATTACTATTAGACCTTATTTGCAGAGAATATGGATGAGTGCTTTAATTTAATCTATTGTTTTTAGGCCAGGAAAAAAAGGTTAATTTATTTTTCATACACTTACTTGTTAAAAGGTTTATTCAGCTGAACGGCTGTGTCACTTGACAGCCTGGATTAATGTGCCAAGATGGATTCAAGTGAGAGTTTGATGTATTTATTCTGCATTTTATTTCACAGAAGACTGTTTTCTTTTTGCCCTGTAGCATGTCTTTAAGCTAGAGCAAGAAGAATATATGAAGGAACAAATACCGTGGACCTTGATTGATTTCTACGACAATCAGCCTTGCATCAACCTCATAGAGGCCAAGATGGGAATTCTGGATCTGTTGGATGAGGAGTGCAAGGTGTGTCTTCAAGGGCTTTCACGAAGAAAGAGGTTGTGAGCTGTCCTGCGTCTGGGGCCTCACAGGGAAAAGTCATCTGTGCACAGCCATCATTTTGACACTCTGCTGTTAAAAGACTTTGGAGAACGTACAAAACAGAATTAGCAATTACCGGAGGAGAATAAATGGGTTTTGTCATGCTTTTTTTCTCCCTTCTTTCCATCATGGGCCTGCATCTGTTTCTCTGATCAACCTTTGTTTAGCCACTTTCTCTTTCCCATGTGTATCAATTGCAGTCTTTGGTCCTGGGAGATTTCTCCAAATTGCCACTCACTTGGTGTCTCACCTTTTGTCTTTTAGCTTAGTTTAATTTATGCCAAGCCATGTACAGGGGATGGCGTGTGGTGTCTGCCTCAGTGGAAACCCAGCTTGGGGTTCTTACGTGTCACACAGCATCCCAAGGAATCTCTAGTGGTGGTGGATGAGTTCTAACCCTCTGAGGTGCTGCTCAGTCAGATAACGTACCTCTTGGATCCCCACCTTGAGGTGTGTGACACTGGAAGTGTTATTAGTGTCGTGCGTGTCCCGTAGCAGCTACTGCTGCTGCTGGGCTGCGCCCGGTCCAGGCTGTTAGAAAGGCAAGGGCATCGCTGGCTACTGGCTTCCTTGCTTATGGCAGTGCTGGAAATCTGAGGAGTTGGACTTTGAAAGCAAACCACAAAGCATTGTCCCCTGTCTTTAGTTTCTCTTGCTACTGAAAAGTTCTCAAGACATTTTAAATGTCTATGTATTCTCTTCCATAGATGCCAAAAGGCTCGGATGACACGTGGGCCCAAAAACTCTACAATACTCATTTGAATAAATGTGCCCTCTTTGAAAAACCACGTATGTCAAATAAGGCTTTTATCATCAAGCACTTTGCTGACAAGGTAAGGGCTTTTCCTCTGGTACCTTTTCCCGTGGCTGGTGTTGCTGGCTGTGTGTGTGGATCCTGGGGTGGGTGGCTGCTGCAGGCAGGGGCTGGGAAGTGGCATCCCTCAGCTTTTTGCAAAATGTGTGACTGCCTGTGCACCCTATCCTGAGAAAAAAAGTCGACCTGGCATCTGTGCAGAGCCAGAAACACAAACAAGAGCTCCAGACTCCTGTCACATGCTGTAACCACTAACCATCCTTTTTCAAAACATGACAGCTTAGTGTATTTGCAATTCACAGCATAATCGTATCAATTCCAGTTACACTCTAGAAATACACAAAATAAAAAATTATGTATCTCTGTAGGTTGAGCTAAGGAACAACAACAAAACTGTGTTGGTTTTGCCGTCCTCTTAATGTGCAAACAGAAAAGAGGCCGACAGACGCTTCTTATGGCGGGGGGAGGCGGGTGTGGGGCCCC